TTTTCCTACAGTCTAAGGACATCATTTAAACAAAAGGAGTAGCATATTAAAGTCATACATAATAGCAGAGTGGAGATACACAGACTGTTCATGATGAGTTTCTCATCGACCACCTCATTTTTTTCCTTGTCCAATTTCTGTTTATTTCTTTCTAGGCAGAGTTACAATATACATCTCTGACTGACATGATATATATTCTAGGATGGCTAAAAGAAGCCAGAGATTTCCTGCCTGTGCTCCCAAAGAGCTTGGATTAAAGACATGCACCATCACATATACCTGTCCTTATTCCTGATTTTAATTGATATTATTTTATTTTCTCTCCATGTTGTGTAATGCTGTCACAGGTTGATATGGAAAACCTAAAATTTCAAGTTGTGTTCCTTCTATTCTTTTTTTAGAGGGATTACATGAGCAAGCGTGGTAAAGATCCTGATGGGGAAATCTACAGAAACAACTGAACCAAGCTCAAAGGAACTCGGAAAATTTAGATCGACAGCTGTGGAACCTGCATGGGACTGGTTTAGACCCTCTACATATGGGAGACAGTCGTATAGCTAGGTCTGTTTGAGGGGCCCCTGGAAGTGTGATCAGGATCTATACTGGTGCATGAGCTGTCTTTTTGGATCCCATTACCTAAGGTTGAACACCTTGCTCTTGCTTGATAAAACAGGGAGGGGCTTGGTCCTGCCTCAACAGAATGTACCAGGCTTAGCTGTGCCACCATGGGAGAACTTACCTTGTTGGACGAGGGGATGAAGGCTGGGAGGAGAAGTTGGGTGGAGAGTGGGAGGAGGGAAGAAAGGGGGATCTGTGGTTAGTATGAAAAATGAATAAAAATTAATTTAAAAAAGACCATCTCATTTTTTTGCATAGACTTAATACAACTTTGCAAACTAGGCAGCTGAATAAGGTCATGTGAAATGATCAGGCCTCCTGCTTAGAAGGCACCTTACACCCAGATAATATGCAAGATGGAGCCTGTCATGCTAGAGCAGCATTTCTTGAGTCATGTGTCTGAGAATATTGTCTCTGGCAATAAACAAAAATGACTGTGTTATCCTTAGGCCTACAGCTGGAAATCTACATCCTGGTACTCTAGAGGAGGCTGTTACACAACACTCTGTGAAGGTTCTGAACAATCCTCAGCAGAAACATCTGCCTGGGTTCATCCTTCCAATGACTAAACTTATGATATCCCCAGTACACTTTACATGGGAAATGCTCAAACAATGAATTCAGTCAGTGTTACATCAAATAGTGACAAGGGTGTGAATCTCATCCCTACAGGTGATATTCCTGAATAAATATGTAATTTCCGATATGGTGATATACACCTTTAAATCCCATCACTTGTGAGGCTTAAGCAGGTAGAGCTCTGTGAGTTCAAGGAAAGCCTGCTGAGAACATACCAGAGATATCAGAAGGGAGGGATGGGACACAAGTCTACATACACAAGGAGTATCAAACATACTGTTTGCTGGACA